GGGGTCTTTATTTTCTAATAAATCATTAAATTATACATAATTTTATTTTGTATAAATCCTTCAGGTTTTAAATTATATACCAAAAATTTATATAAAAGAGCTACAATTCTACGTTTTCATCATTAAGACTTTGCCTTCTTCGAGCACCAACTATAATTAAGGACTTTCAGGTTCTTCTTTGAGCAATTTTTTTTTAAGTAGTTGAATTTTACATTCACGCGTTTATATTAGTAGTTAAATTTTACATTCCCATATTTATATTAATATTTAAATTTTGCATTCACGTATTCAACAACTACATTTTTATTTTGGTATTCTTAATTGTGAACCTAGAATGAACATGGGCCTGTTTGGCCAAAAACTCATTTTTTTTAGCCATTTTATAATTTTTACAATAATTTTTATTAATTAAAGATATAGAATAATTCACATTTTGCTTGCGAAAAAAAAAAGATCTATTGTCACTTAGCTTATCATTTGTGTGTTTTCTAGAATGAACCTATGAATATATATATTTCTCAACAAGATTTCAAGAAAAAGAACTCTGAAATCTTCGAGAGTTTATGTGCTCTTAATGAAAATAAAAAGAAATACCACAATTTATGAAATTATAGTAATGAATAAATCTTAAGTTGAAAATATTGACAAAGATGATTGAGGACTTCTATTATCACCATTTCTTCATTTATTGAGTTGCTAAATATGATCAATAATTATCATTTTCAGTAACTCACACTTTTTTCTTAACTTATTTTATAACTCAAACGTAATTAGTTAACATAGTATTTATGTGATTTTTTAAAATAGATCGGAAGAGACGAGACACACGCGCAACACACGTATCATATAACTAATCAAATTAAAATATGCAATAATAGCGTTAAAGTTGTACGACAACGCGAGGAAGTTCCGAAAAAGTGATAAATATGTTGGAAATCAAACTTAAATGTTCTTTGCANCTCTTCCGATCTAAATATAATCAATAATTATCATTTTCAGTAACTCACACTTTTTTCTTAACTTATTTTATAACTCAAACGTAATTAGTTAACATAGTATTTATGTGACTTTTTAAAAATATATACTTATTGAGACAGGATACACGCGTAACGTGCATATCGTATAACTAGTATATATATATATATATATATATATATATATATATATATATATATATATATATATATATATATATATTGATCACTCGTAGATTTTCTTCTATATTAGCTAGAATTATGGAGGTAAAATTAATTTAAAAACTATAAAAGAAAAAAATTAAATAATATAGAAAGACGTAAATAGAGATAACCTATATCTATTTATACTTTGGAGTAAGTTGAATTATAAAATAAAACTAAAATTTACTTAAGATATTAAACATTTATTGACTTTAAAATTTTAAAAAATTCAAGCAGCAAAAGCAGATCTTACATAAAGTATACAAATTGTTTATAAGGTAAGAAAAGAATAAATAATGAGCAAAAAATATTTTCATAAAAAAAATAATAAAGTCATATTAATATTGATAAATCGGGTAAATGAGTATTTTATATGTAAATATTAATAAAATGTGTTCAAACAATAAAATAATTATTTTTTATGATTAATATTTGAATTGACTACATTTAGTTTAAGTTTGAAAGCATAACATAGTTTTTCGAATAAGTGTGGTAGAAATAGATATTAAATTCAAACAAGCTGATGAAAAGTCACATGACAATGTAAAAATATTAGGTATTGAATAATATAAAAGCAAAATAAAGAATAAATAAATATTCGGATCTTTTATCATAGAGAAAAAAGGGTAAAACTTATTTAAATTTGAGATGAGAAAGTTTTTTAAATTATGACAAGAAAGATGTCACGACCCAATTCCATAACAGGTCATGATGGCGCCCAATGCCTTTGTTGGGCAAGCCAACGCGGAAAATATTAGCTAAACTTTCGGTCACCTTTACCCCAAAGTAGATAAATAATTCTTTAAATTGGAATAACTCAGAAACGATGAATAAAAAATCATGATAATCATACAGTCCCAAAATAATACAGTCTACTAATGTATGTGTGCCAGGACCTGGTGTCACAAGCATGGGAACTAGCAGAATATACAAAATAATCACACTATCCTACTGTTCGAAACGGAATAGACAGCAAAAATACAAAAGAAAGACTTCTTCAGGCTGCTGAACGGCATGGAGGAGAAGCAGCTCACCGTAGAAGTCTCAAATCCGCTCAGAGATGCGCACCCGACGGATAGCCAGATGTACCTGCCTCAGACCTTGTACAATTAAGTACAAAAGTGTAGTATGAGTATATAAACAATATGTACCCAGTAAGTATCCCGTCTAATCTCGAAGAAGTAGAGACGAGAGGTCGACTTGATACTCACTAGGGCCAAATAATGTGAGGAAAATTTATAACAAGCATGGATAGTATAAGTTATTACTATTAAATTATCATGGATTAACAATTCTTTTCCCAAGTATTTCCATGGATGTTCACCTATGTCTCAAGCAGATAATAAATTTAGTTCTCGGAGAAAAATGCTAAGCAAAACATGCGCAAGTAACACCGTGGGACGTACGGCCCGATCCAACATAAAAGTAAATTATGCACTGCCGAGGGTCGAACGGCTCGAACCATATATGCATCTATTACCCCGCTCGCGAATCACCCGTACGACGCGGTCAAATATAAATAAGCGCATCAACAAGCAACGATAATATATGTCTGAGGAGTAGCTATACGCAGAAATACCAAATATTCTCTCCTAAAAGACCAAACAGGATAAGGTTCATTCACTAGTCTCATTCTTCTTAATTAAACAGTTATATGAATCCAAATTTATCGTCACGTTACGAGAATATCACGTAGAGCATGCTTATGGGTCCTAGACTACCCGGACTTAACATAATAGTCGCTACGCACGGACTCTCGTCACCTAGTGCGTACGTAGCCCCTACAAATTTGGCAATTAATTCAATTATTATACCTATGGGGACAATTCCCTCTTACAAGGTTAGAAAGTAGACTCACCTCGCTCCAAAGTGCACTTCCAATGCCAAGAACAAGTCCAAACCCTCAATTCGGAGCCGAACGATCCCAAACTAGTTAAACGAAGTAAGAACTAGTTAATATAGACTCATAAGATCGAATTCTAGCTATTTAAGCAATTTTCCAACCATTAAGACAAGTTTCTTAAAATCCGACCCCGGGCCCACGTGCCCGGATTCCGAAATTTTTCGAAGGAAGTTGTTCTCTTCAACCTAAGGATCAATAATATATGATTTCTAATTAATTTCATAACAAATTTCGCGGTTAAATCCAAGTTTTATTAAAACCCTAGGTTTAGCTCTAACCCTTTGATTTTTCCTAATACTCAATTATATTTAAAAATATTACTAATAGATTTAAATGATTAAATAAATTTGAATAAGAGGATAAAAGCATATAAATATATTAAATTTTAAGAATAAAAACTTATATTTATTAAAGACTATTAAAAGGATAATAAGCAAGGCATTAAGTTAATTATTAAGCTAATAAGATTATATAATAATATAATAATGTTAAATAATAAATAATACAATAACTATAAGAAAAGAACAAAAAGAAAAAGGAATTTGCGTAGAAATGATGTACTAATGAATAAGACATATTTGACTTTTCAGACAAAAACAAACTATTAGTAAGAATTTTGTTAAAATAATATAATCTAATGTGCTCAAACAAGACAGATCATAACATGACATGTTTAGTATTCTTTAATATTGACAGCAAAACGAAATACAATTACTAAAATCAAGGGGTTAGGTTGCTGCAGATATAGAAAAATACATTGTCTACTACGAGATTTGAACAATAATTTCATATCTTGCTTCTTAATTAATATCTAATGTTATATAATTTTTATCTAAGAGGTTTATATTTTAACGTTATTTGCACATGATTCAAATAACCTAAATTACATTTGACGTGATTTGTGTCCGCGCATTGTGCGGGTACTAACACTAGTATTCTTAAAAGGTAATCCAACTCGTATTTTCCTCAAAAATAATTTTGACTAAACCAAATCCAAGCACGTTGTTTGTCCACATTGTTTTTTCATGTCTCACCATATATTCGTATGTCTATGATTTGATATTTTTAAAATTCTTACTTCATTTATGTCTTCAAATCTTCTAATTATGCACAAGGTAAATGAACATGCTAGAGAAAATTTAACGAATATTTGTGACAGAAATACAGTTAGTTAAGTTGCCACACAATATCTATTCATGAAAGCGAAAAGCTAAAGGAAGGATTTTTCCTGCCACGTGGACACTGTGGGCCCAAATGTTTCGGAAAATATGCTAAAATTTCACGGTATAGCCAGTTTTCGGACTGGTCAATCAAAAATAGCCAGCGTTTACCAAGTCAATGAAAAATAGCCACCGTTTTGCTGCAATAGAGACCGGTCCAGCATAATATACTGGAGTTCGGTGCACTTGTGTATGAACTCCAACATATTATGCTGGACCGGTATACTTTGCTGGCTCCAGTATAATATACCAGAGACTGGAGCACTGGTGCTCCAAACTCCAGTATATTATACTGGACCATTATACTTGCTGGAACTCCAGTATATTATGCTGGAGTTCTAATTTATGCTGGAACTCCATCATATTATGCTGGAGTTCCAGCATACTATCCTGGAACTCCAGTATAATATGCTGGAGTTCAAGTATACTTATGCTGGAACTCCAGTATAATATACTGGAGTATTTTCCGGGTTTTGAACAGTATTTTCGCTCAGATTTATCTTTAAATAAAAAGTGGCTAAATTTCGATTACTTTTGAAATTGGACTATTTTTGAACGACCAGTTGTAAATCTAGCTATTTTTAAAAATCACCCGAAAAATATGTAGTAAAACCTTTTCCAATCAGGCAATCACTGTGCGGATTTCAACCATCTTAAAAACAGTATATTAGGGCTAAAATTCTGTTCCGAACAACAATAGTATTAGTACTACTTCTACTTTCACTCACCTCTCAATTTATTCACTTCTATTTATTTTCCTTTAATTTTTTACCCTTACATAATTCATCTCAGCTGATCATGGAGTCCGACGATGATATGTACGAGGGAAGCGACGTAGACTCCGCCACCGGCGATGACTTCTACGGCGACGACGTCATCACCGGTAACGACAGTGACGTGGACTCCGCTTGCGGCGACGATGATTTCATCGGTAATGATTCCGATCATCTTTGTACTGGTAAAAACTACGTCGTTTTATCCGACGATGATATTCGTCATCTCATGGACGATGATATCTCTAAAGTTTCATCAGTTCTCTCAGTTTCCAAAACTGAAGCATCTATTTTACTCCGTCGGTATAACTGGAGCGTGAATAAAGTTCACGAGGAATGGTTTGCCGATGAATTGAAAGTTCGAGAAGCTGTTGGTTTAAAAATAGCGGAAAAAATTGTTCAATTTCCGGAGAATAAGTTATTAACTTGTGGAATTTGCTTTGAGGATTATTCATCTGATGCAATTTTGGCCTCTGCGTGTGGTCATCCTTTTTGTGTTGAATGTTGGCGAGGGTATATTACTAATTCTATATCTGATGGTTCTGGATGTTTAAATTTGCGATGTCCGGAACCACCTTGTAAAGTTGCTGTCTCACAGGATATGATCGATTCATTGACGTGTGATGATCATAGAAAGAAGTACTATGGATTTCTTTTCCGTTCTTACGTTGAGGAAAACAGGAAGATTAAGTGGTGTCCTGCTCCAGGATGTAATTTCGCTATTGAATTTGATATAGGGAGCGATAATTGTGATGTTATGTGTGACTGCTCGCATAGTTTTTGTTGGAATTGTACGGAGGAAGCTCATCGACCCGTTGATTGTGGAACTGTGGGAAAGTGGAAGGAGAAGAACTTAGCTGAGTCGGAAAATACTAATTGGATTTTGGCTTACACAAAGCCCTGTCCTAAATGCAAGAGACCGATTGAGAAGAACGAAGGGTGTATGCGAATGACATGTAGAGACCCTTGCAAGTATCAGTTTTGTTGGCTGTGCCTTAATTCTTGGTCAACTCATGGCTATAATCCGTGTAACAAGTACAAGCCGGGGAATGAAGATGAGAAAAAAAAAGAAATGGCCAAGCAATCTATTGAGAAGTACACACATTATTACGAGAGATGGGCTACTAATGAGAAGTCGAGGCAAAAAGCTGTAGAGGATTTGAGGAGAATGGGAGAAGTTAATGTTAAGGAGCTGAGTGAATTGCAGAGCATACCAGAGACACAATTGAAGTTCATTATAGAAGCTTGGAATCAGATCGTTGAATGCAGGAGAGTGTTGAAGTGGACTTATGCTTATGGATTTTACTTGCCTGATGAGGAGCACACGAAAAGGCAGTTTTTCGAGTTCTCGCAAGGTCAGGCAGAGGCTGGTTTGGAGAGGCTTCACCATTGTGCAGAGAGTGAACTGGAGAATTATCTGAATGTTGAAGAAAGTAATTCCAAAACATTTGATGATTTCCGTATAAAGCTTACCGGTCTGACTAGTGTGACTAAGAACTACTTTGACAATTTAGTTAGAGCACTTGAGAATGGTCTTGAAGATGTGCATTCGCAAGGGGCTCAGAGCGACATGCCAACAAGCTCCAAAAATGCAGCTGAAAGCAGCAAAAGGGCAAGCTTGAAAAATGGTAGGGACAGGATGCCCTTGAAGGCAAGAGCTGAATTCATGAGGCTCGTGAGAACTAGAAATGCAGGACTACCTGGCATTAACAACACTGCAAGCTCAAAACATGCCTTAGTTGCTCCAGGAGGAAATATAAATGGCTCCAAGAATCTTGTTATAAGTGGAGACAACACTTTGAGAACATCAAACAATCCACTTGTAGCAGGGCTCAGCAACTTTATGGGATCAAAAGATGCACTTGTAGCGGCGAGGAGCTACCCTATGAGCCCACAATTTTTACAACTAGCTGGGTTGAGCAGCGCTACCGGCTCGAGTAATTTGCAGCTAGCTGGGAGCAGCAAGGTGATGAACATTGGGGGAGGCAGTGTGACGAACTTGGCAAATGCACATGTGGCTGGGAGAAACATTCTCACTGTACCAAAAAATCCACTTGAAGCCGGGGGCAGCAACTCTATGGGATCGAAAGATGCACCTATAGCAGGTAGGAGCTATGCTATGGGCTCAATGTTTTTACAACAAGCTGGGGTGACCAGCACTACTAGCTCAAGTAATTTACAGCTAGCTGGAGGCGGCAAGGTAATGAACATCGGGGGAGGCAGTGTGACAAACTTGACAAATGCACATGAGGCTAGAAGCAACAACCTCACTGTATCAAAAAGACCACTTGAAGCCGGGGGCAGCAACTTGATGGGATCCAAAGATGCACTTGCAGCAGCGAGGAGCTACGTTATGGGCTCACAAGTTTTACAACAAGCTGGGGTGACCAGCTCCACTGACTCGAGTAATTTACAGCTAGCTGGCGGCAGCAAGGTAATGAACATTGGGAGAGGCAGTGTGCCAAACTTGGCAAATGCACATGTGGCTGGAACCAACAACCTCACTGTCTCTAGAACTCCAAATGCGGCTTGGGGCAGCAAGGTGATGAACTTTGGGGGAGGCGGTACAAACTTGGCAAATGCACATGTAGCTGGAAGCAACAACCTCACTGTGTCTAAAACTCCAAATGCGGCTTGGGGCAGCACTGTGGGAAGTGGTACAAACTTGACAAATGCACATGTGGCTGGAAGCAACAACCTCACTGTGTCTAAAACTCCACATGTGGCTGGTGGCAGCAACGTGATGAACATTGGGGGACGCGGTGCAAACTTGGCTAATTCACATGTCGCTGGAACCAACAACCTCACTGTGTCTAAAACTCCACATATGGCTGGGAGCAGCAGTAGGATAGGTAGCTGGAAAAAACGCAGGACATCAAATGCTGGGACACCGTTAATCATAAATTTGGATGACGACGATTTAGGAGAGACAACTTCTACCGCAGGGGCATCGTTAACACAGAACATGATTGATGATTTGGAAGGTTGGGCATGCGATTCGTGCACATTTCTGAATGCTAGCTCTGCCACGGCATGCCTAATGTGCAGTGAAGATGATTCTGGCAATTGGGAATGCGAAATATGTACATTTGTCAATAAGAAGCATGCTTCTGCATGCCAAATGTGTGAGCACCGTAGATAATGTCCTTGCTTGCATATAAAAATATATGGCTGCTCGGAGGATACTCTTGGCTACAAGTTAGTTTTTGAATTATTGCTACCTTACTGTTTTACCAGTCTTATGTTCTTCTTTTCGGCCGATAGCTGCCTAAAAGTTTCATATTGCATCAGTTGGATGCATAGGCTTAAGTAGTAGTATAGTCATGCATATATGGGGTTCCTGGTATTTATAGTGATACACATTCTCCAGGTACATAACAGCTTTTGTCATATTTCTTACTAGTAAAGGCCAATACATTATTCTCGTTATTGTGAAGACTCAAAATTTGGTACATTGGCTTATCTCTTTATTTTGTTACCAATGTGGCTTTGGAAGCATTTCTGGAATTATAATTCTGCTTTTGATGTCTTCTAGGTTTCTAGCATTTTTAAGAGTCAAAACGAGCTAGAAAGAAAATTCTGTTTGACCTGCAGAGGATGTCCCTGTATCATAACGTGTAAGGACTAAATTAAGAATGAATCCTTGAACATGGGAGATAAGCAAATAACTAAGCTTTTGGGCTTTGACCAAACATCCCTGGCACTTGTCTAGTGAATATTAAACTATGTAGTCTGAAACTTGTCGGCATCTTGAAGATGTAGAACATTTTAAAGGAAGATTTCTGGCATAATATTTTCGGAGGGTGGCTAGTGTGCCCAATCTTTATTTGGTTGACACAGCAAATGTTTCTCAACGTTTGTTTTCACTTTTATTGGGAGCTCCATATATTCTGTTTCCTACTGAAGTGTAGCTTTACCATGATCTTGTTCTTATTACACACCAATAGCTCATTTATCTTTGTTGGTGCAGCCAAAAATTTATTGCAGAAACTATATGTGCTTAATGAGTATTGTTATTTCATCTGCATTACTGTCTATACCTTTCTCTACTGGATCTATGCCCTTTTTCCTTTTGCAAACAAAGATGATTAATCTTGCTGCATGTTGTAAATGCCTAATTGATAGGGAACACCACTTTGAGAAAGTTACTGCAGACCTGTTCCAAAATGCCCTATTGATTGAGTTCCAAATTGAAAAATTAATTGTAGAACCTCTCTTTAGCTAATTTTTACCCCTCGTGTACCTACAAAACTTGTAACGGCATGGTGGTAATGCAGCTGACCAACATCTAACAATATGAAGGTTTCAAGTTTTAGTCTAACTGCAAGCCCTTGGAGTGATGTAATTTCAAGCGGCAATAACAACAACATACCCAGTATTAATTTGAAGCATGGACACAAAATAACTCGAGAATTTGTGTACCTTTTCTGCAGTGGAGAATTTGAAACAAAGAAATTGCCGCAAGTCCCACTGTGTTTCACTACGAAACAAGACTTTGTTCCGCGAACTAAATATCTACAGTTGTGCGTTTTTGGAAAGAGAGTAAGAGACGAAGAAAAAATCCTTTGTTTCTGTGTTCTGTTGTAGTTACCCAGGAAAAGAGCATTCTTCTTTTAAAGAAGAGAACCGCTTTTAACTTCTTGATAACCAACTGCCAAGTTTATCCTCCGCTTAAACTCTTTTAACTTCTCTAAATTGGTTCAGAGATCGTGTCAGGTTAATCCACAGTCCAATTTAACTAGCACCTAATAACCCGTTTACCTGGGGAGAAATTCAAAATTAGCCAGATTTACAAGCGGTCGTTCAAAAATAGCCTCAGACTCAAAAGTAATCGAAATTTAGCCACTTTCATGTAAAGATAAATCTGAACGAAAACATTGTTCAAAATCCAGAAAAATACTCCAGTATATTATATTGGAACTTTCCGCTTGTTGGAGTTCCAGCATAATATGCTGGAAGTTCATACACAGGTGCACCAATCTCCAGTATATTATGTCGGAACTTTCCGTATTACAGCAAAATAGTGGCTATTTTTCAATGACTTTGCAAACGCTGACTATTTTTGAATGACCAGTCCGAAAACTGGCTAGCCCGTCCTATAAAGGAATGAGCTATCAACAGCCAAAATCTTCCAAGTCCAAGGTTACTCTATTTGAATTGATCTCTTGATTATCTCAAGCTAAGAATAAACAAATTTAGTTGCTGTAACTTTTATACGTGTATGCAGCTTGCAGCAGAATCTGCACCGTCTTTAGCAAATGTAAATTTAGAATATGAAACCGGTAAATTCAGAATGAATGTGCTTTCTCACATTTATACATTAAAAAAAATTAGCATAAGCATTACTTTTTTCTTCTTCTTGTTTCGGCTCCAACGAACATGTTTCGTATCTCATTATTCTTCAAGCCAGATCTTATTAGTAATATACAAATATTACTTTTTATACAAATACTTTTAATTTTGAACACATTTAGCAAAATTCCTGACTTTTAACACCGATTCTGAGTAGTACAATGACTTCTTCAAAAACTCAATTCTAGAGCCAAACGGAAAAGAGAACTATAAAAGACAAATATAATTTTGAACCTTTATTGACCCAAAGATGTTGGCGTCTCACACTTGCAGGGAACTAGCAGTAGAGAAAGGAAGAACCAAACAGTAGCAGAGAAATAATGCAAGAGAAACTTGGACTTTTGAGACTCTACAAGAACAGTATAGTTTAACGGGACTATTTTGAACCTTGCAACAAAGCAAAAAATTAAATAATACCACCAAAAATTATGGCGGGATGGATTGGATCTATTCATCTTTAACACGGTTCGAGTTTTGGGAATAAAAAAAATCATAATAGAGAGCTTTTATGATTAGTAAACAGCTTCATGAGATGATCTAGTTTCTTAGTAATATTAGGGCTGGTGCCTAATGTAACTTTTTTGGTTCTAAAAGGCTGAATTTTATACACTTCAAATATGTAAATACAACAAAAATTCGTGTCAAGAAAAAGAAGTTTACTAGTACAACACAAATAAGTCTACGAGAATTTTGGCATGAAGATAACTAATTAGCCCTCTGTTGTGTTTTTTGTTTAAAAGGTGTGAATGGGAAATGGAAGAGGCACCTTTTGGATTGCACCTTTCCATCTCACCCTTCCTTTGTCTATAAATTTAGAGGCTTGCCTCATTTTTAAGACATGGAAAAATCTGAAAATTTCTCCCCTCTTTTCTACATTGTTGCATTATTTTCTAAATAAACATAAGTGTCAATTGTGATTTGCTCTGTCTGTTAAGTTCGCTGAAATTCTGTAGTTTCGATTGCCAGTATTGCAGAATAGTTATTCCGTTCTATCCTGGGAGGAATTAATCCAAAACCTTGGGCAACAGTGAGGGGATTAAATTCCTTAAGGACACACAAGCAACTTGTGGGCTCGGAATTATTTTTTCTGTTTTGTTTATTAAACTAATGTTTCTCTGCTTCTCTAATTTTTTGATTTTTAACACAGTAACACCAACAATCTTAAGGAATTTAATTATGTGGAAACTGAGAGAAATAGAGAGGCAATAACAATTTTGCACTTGAAAGTTTGAAATACCAGTTTGACGGCATTATTCGATGAAGGCACACTGACTTGTGAATGCTCATAACTTTCACTGATCTGTATATGCAGGAACACTGCGGAGCATATTGTGCATTACCAATTAAGATCAGCTAATTGGAAAGCATTGCAGATTGACAAATCTGGTCAGAATAGGTCATGGGCAAGCATGAGAAGGAAGAGTACATAAATTCATCGGTTTCGGTACTTCCATTTTTACATGGAATAACAATTGCTCATTTAGAAATTAATGATAGACAAAAATTTGAAATACACACTTTACGAGGCAAACTTGTGAAAGGCACCTAAATTTGCTTGAACGAAATTTTATTTCAAATCTAGCAATGCCAAAAGATGTCATCAAAGACGGCGTTTCATTATAACTTGTGACAGATGTTCACTTATATAAATGGTTGTGAGTTCACGTTCTCATCATCTTTGGTAAAATCAAGTCCACCGCGAAGACATTCATAAACAGCTCTACCGTAGTTTTTAGCAGATAACCCCTATTTAAATTTTTTTTTTTGACAAAGAGATCATAATGTTATGGAGTAGCAGTGTTAGATTCTGAAAGATTGTCTTCAAACTTGTCAATGACATGGCTTTACTCGGGCTTGAATTTTTGTACATTGCATGGAGAGACCGAAACCATTTGAAGGTAATCAGAAAGAATATTCTGCTAGTAGTTGTCGAAGAGAAGTGACTCTGCTAATTGAATTGTCTGAGGCCGGACATCAAGAGGACAATATTAATTCCGACAAAGCAGAAAGTGACTACAAATTCTAGTTCTACTTTTCCTACTCGATTTATGAATCAGACAACGAATTTAATAAAATTCTGCCAAATTCTACTTAATTGGTTTTCATACTCATAGAAGGAAAGTTAGAATCGGTGACGGTGAGATCAACACAGTGAAGGTGATGATTTAAAATGGCTCTATAGCAATAAAAATTGGGTTCTACTTTCATTACTCCGCTCATTTTTCCTATCCTTTGGTAATTTATAAAATCTTGATTTAGAATAGAAGTTTATTATATAGTGATCTCAACAGAATAATAAACTGCCTTAGCAGTATGTTATCCTTGTCATAGCCACATGCAAATATGTATATATATATATATATATATATCCAAATAAATTTGGTAACATGCATGATATCATACAAATGAGGTATTTATGGTTGTAGGTAGTTTTGAGATTGTAAAGAAAATAATATGTAAGATGTACATATATTTGTTTGATTAGAGGAAGAAATCAAACTGTTTAAAGTGTTATAATGGTTTAGGAAAAATCATTTGGAAAGGGAACTAAAATTCTCGTGAATTTATACTCCCGTTATGGAGACTAAAATCTTCGTGATTTTCTACTCCTGCTTCGAGATCAAAATCTGCATGATTTTGTACTCGTTCATTGAGATTAAAGTCTTCGTTACTTTCTACTCATTTGTCGGAAATTAAAGTCTAAGTGACTTTATACTCGTTTTGGAGATTAAAATCTTAGTGATATTCTACTCAATTTATTATTCGGTTTGAAAATTAAAAACTTCACCGTTTATTAAATTTGATTGTGTCACGTATTATTCGGTTTGAAGATTAAAAGCTTCACCGTTCATAATTCTGAATATGTCAAATTGGTTTGAAGATTAAAAACTTCACCATTTATTAATTTTGGCTATATCGTTACACAAACAACAATTCTTGTGGTTGGCTCAACAACGTAATAGGGGCGTCGAATATAAATCTCCTTTTGAAGAAATATGTTTGGAATATGAATTATTCACCAAACGATCGCCCCTTAGTCACCGCAATCTAATGGAATTGCAGAAAGAAAGAATATGACGTTAAAGGAGATGATGAATGCCTTGTTAATAAGTTTT